TACCCTCAAAAAGTTTAAAGGAGGGTGTTGCACTTCGAAAAACTTGCACCCCAGATTATATAACTTACTTCAGACTTCAGTTATATAATTCAATTGTCCTACGATTTCCAAAACATTCATAAGTATATGTGGGACAATTCAAACATCTGAGGAGGTCCTTGAGCATGATTGAAACTTCGACCCCGCACACCTGTACTTAAGATGTGTTTTTTGTTCTTGGATTCAAGATTCCTGGAAAAACATTCTGGGAATTCTTGAATCTTGAACCCTCAAACACAATGTACTGTATTTTGAAAATTTAGATCTGGCCGTTTGTTTGGTGTGATAAAGAATTTCATGCCATGAGCCGTCCACTGGCTATACACATCCACCCGCAAAGAGTCTGGAGAAAAAAGAATCGCACGAATCAGTTCTGCTGTCGGGGTTTCGTGCGTGCCAAATGTTCGAATATGTCCGAATGAGAAGCATAAAGTTCCTCCTTTTCTCTACGGCTCCAAACTCAATCCTGGAGGCACCTGACAATCTGCAAATAATTGCTCCCTTGCTTGATTAGTTTGCTCAATTACTAACTGCTAACTACAAATTTGTTTCTGTTGTTTTTATTCATCAGCCTTTCCTTGGTTCATATTGGTTTGCCGATCTCTCCGTTCTTTCTATGGCTGTCTGAATCCCCTTCTTCACATCTTCCTATTCTGAAGGGGCTATACTCCAACTAGTGACTAGCTGTCCAGATCTTTCTATCTCAGATACTGTCCTGTCTTCTTAAGAATACGGAGAAACAAAAAGAAACCATTAGTAATGTCAGAGTACTAGGAGCGAAAGAAAGTACAAAGGAATGACTTGCCCATCGCAATATACGTTTTAACTTACACTGTGGCTCTTCGTGTATTGGCTAGTTTGTACTAGGGTGGAGGCCATCGCTATTAGGTTGGAGACCATCGCTACTAGTAACAAGAAGCTACTAGTAGCTCCTGGCAATACTACTAGTAGCAAGAAGCTGCTAGGTGGAGGCCATCGCTTTATAGTTGAATCCTCCTCTTGTTCAGCTTGCTTTCTCTGCTGATATAGCTATATATATACTCATTTACTATTCCTTCTTCCTCAACAAGCTCCTCCAAGTTGCAACAAGCTTGCCCCCCTGCTCAACCAATAATATGTTAATTCTGCTTCATTCTTTCAGTTTGCAGGTATGATATGGTCTTAAAGATTGCCGAGGATCAAAAATTGATCAAGAACAAAGGGAGTTAGACCAAGTGCAAGAGGATTGATTGGTCCCACAACGCTACCTAGCACATTTCATGTTCCCCTCTCGGTTAGTCTGTTCTGTTGGTTTAAGTTCAAGAATACACAGTACGTATGCAGTGCACATTGTATAGTAGACCAAAGCCAAGTTGACTGTTTCCCGCCAGCGATAGATTCTCTTGGCCCGTCCAATGGGTCCGCGACGCGTTTTGGGCGTCCAAGCGGCTGAAAGTTGGACTTGACAAAATTCCGATAGAAAAAAGAAACTAAAAATGAATCGGATTGAAATGTCCCGGATCGATCCTTTAAAGTTGCTCTTAGGGGATCCCGGATCTGGGATGTTGAGCATTTTTGGGCCGTCAACGCGGATGCTCAGGGTCAGTCTGTTGGTCGAAAACTACAACCTGCGACTCCAAACGCTGCGCCTCTTCTTCGCTGCTATCACTACTGTCGCTGCTACTGCTACTACTGCTGCTGCTTTCCTGAGCTTGCGCTAAAGCGGCAGCGCCTGCAAGGGAGGTCAGTTGCTGCATGAGTCACAAGAACATGCCAAAAGCCCCAGTCGCTGCACAAATGTCCATTGAGTCGTGGATGCCTGACATGCCTGAGACCCTGGACCCCATTCCGCCAAATTCATGAACTCGTGAGCGAGACTGGTGTATCACAGTAATTTGTTCCTAGTAGTAAGGATGCTCCTAGTAGTACGGCCAGGAGCCCCTAGTAGCGTCCTTGCTCCTAGTAGCGATGCCAGGAGCCCCTAGTACCTTCTTGTTCCCAGGTAATCTGGTATGACAGATTGGTCTCAAGTCAGCGTGTCACAAAGAGGCCATAGAAACAAAGAAAGCTCGCACGTGCCTGGACGGAAGGGAAGTGCTCCTGTTTGGCAACACCAACCAAAGGATTCACATTGGAGTTTGCATATTAAAAGTCTGGGAATGTTGTGTCATCTCACCATTGCACTTCTAACGACCAATTCATGTGTCCGTTTGTCCTTTGGAAGCGTTTCATTGGAAGGAAGGCCGCTGACTCTTCCTTCCAGCTCAGCATCTTGTATCACCAGTGGTTTGAAGATACAAGCACATCATGCTTCAGTATTCGAGGACCTTTGCCTGTCTACACTCCAAACGTACTGACGTACTGAAAGCACTCCCTCTTTCAGCCTGTGCAATTCAACTGTGTTTGTCTTTGCCCACCTTTTTTGTGCGAAGAAAAGCAACAAAGGTTGCCACCTGTTGGACCAGTGGTGGAACTACCGGACCAAGTCATCCAAAATATGCAAAGGTATAGAAATGCATAGATTCTGTCTCCAGCTCCTGGCATTCCCGGCATTCCTGGCATTGCTGGCATTCCATGTGCCATTGGATGCGGCACCGCATGCGGTACAGGGCGAGGCATCCAATGCCCTGCGCCGTTCATCAATCCATGCTGGACCCGGAAGTAAAAGCATGTCACACTAAGCCAGAGTGCACTTGCCCGTTAGTAGTTAAGAATATCGAATGGATCATCATGGATCTGATATTTGATTTACTAAGTCACTAATTCGTCCTCCCCTCTTTTTGCTTGTGAGATCAAGAGTCAATCCACCTGCAATCTCAAGTCACACATAGTCACGGATAGTCACAGAGTCTCTGATGGGCCTGGAAATGGAGACATCATCATGCCAGGCCTCGAGGTAAGAACGGCGAAGAAGATCGAATTGTGTACCCCTTGCAATCCAATATCCTTGGTGTAAGTTAGTATTGAACCCATTGAACCCTAAAACAAGTCAAGTATTGTTCAGAGATGTTCAGAACACATGGGCAGTTCGAAGTCACCCCTGTCCTTCACCCCCTGCTGCCATGTTTTAAAGTTCAACAAGCAAGTTTACTGTACAACCCATTGAGTAAGGGAGTCCTTCACTTCGAACATAATCTGATGCACCCTCAAGACACCCTCACAAAAGTAGTAATGCCAGGAGCTACTAGTAGCAAAGGCCTTTGTGGCATTTGGCAGGTGCTCTGGTTGTTATGTTCTAAAGACGCATCCGGCGGCTTGGTGATTTGAGAAACGCAAATGGGCGTGCCGAAAGAAGATTCTTGGAAGAAACACTGGTCATCATGTGTCTGATTTTGCATGTATATAGTTTGCACAACTTGATCGCCTTTCCGACACGAAATCTGGAGAAGGCAAATTAAGCCGTGAAAAAGGCTCTTCGTGCCAGCCAGGGGACATCATTGGCGGAAGCATGCCAGGATAAGCCTTGGCATCGTGCAATCACTCAATCAACATCAACCGAAGCCCCTCACCTTGCCCGGGGCCACCGGGGGGGCATGGTGTTCCATGGTTCTCCCTAACCTCCTGGGATGTGACTCATGTGGACTCATGTGGACTTCCTCGAGCGAAGCCTGAGCTCAAAAGCCGGGCCTTTGGGCAGTACACTTTGGGAGTAACTACAAGTTAGGCTCAGCTGCATAAAAAACTAGAACCAGAAGTGTGAGTGTTAGGGCTAGCATCCAAAAGTATGCGCGCAACCTTGCTGATGGAAAATCACCTCAAGCAGTTTCTCAAGCATTTCACTTTGAACCCAAATCCTAGGCACCCTTGGCTACACATCCGTTCTCCGCGTCCCTTTTTGGTGCATGCACGCCTAGCTCACTGACCACGCAGGTTCGCGCACCCATGAGATCGGCAGCTGTCTCCAAATCACCACTCTTCACAGTCATCAGAAGATGGTCGCCTTGGAGAAAGTTGAGCAGGGGTGAATTCCTTAATATAAACACTCTCGTCGTACAAACCAGAGTCGCCCGCCGAAGCAACTGCCAAAATGCACAGTAAATATATAATCATATCAAATCTCGATGCCCCTCAGCTCCATCACTTTCCAACTCCGGGGTTCACCGTCCACAAAGGGCGAACAAAGTCGACAATGGTGTGTCAAAGCCCTATCTCTTTACACACATGTTTCATGTACCTTACTTTTTGCTAAAATCATCACTTTGGATTCTTGGGAAAGGCTCTACTTACTCCAGCAAAACTAAGTTAGGCACAACATAGCACAACCATGCACAACCCACACCCACTTGTCCAGTATCAAACCGTCAACAAAACCGTTAACACACGACTAATACTATGCGATGGTCCCTTGCCAACCTATTTCCCGGTGGGATAGATGTGATCTCGAAATGACTTCTGTGTCTCAACCAACACACCATGTTTTTGGGCAAATCACGTGTGCTTCAAGTCTGATTAACCCCCTAACTCAGCGGAAGTATCCAGAAACCGAACAAATGCTGCCACCGTGGATCGGACAACAAGGCTGAAGGTCATGACACAATCGGAGTCCAGCACTTCCTGAGAGTTCGAGATCCGGGGGCATGTGACTGCAACACGGGGCGCAGCTGCCATGACTTACAAGGGTTTACAATGGTTCCAATCGTCTCATGAACCCATGCCCTCTGCCTAGGTCTTAAACTGTCTCAAATGATCTTGAATGTGAAGCAAACTCGAAGGTCGACCTAGTTTCGGGTATGGCTGGTGCTACAGGTTGTCGAAGTAACGCTACCGTCAAGTTCTGCTGCCAAGTGCCTGAACGTTGCCTCCAATTAACTCGCAGCCATTCGCGAAGAAACCTCGAGCAGGGTTAAGCAGAGATAGCCCACCAACCTGTGTTGAAGAATGGTGAATGTCTGTAGTATCTTTGTCGAAAATTGTGATTCAAAGAAACAAAAAAAAAAACAAACACACAAACAAGCAAACAAACGAACGAACAAACCGAATTCTCAGATATTCTGGGCCAAGCCAGTCAAGAAGCTGGCACGTGCCACGCCCAAGCGGTTTTGCACCTCTGCTCTCAGGGCCTCCCACGATTCCTCCAGGCCTCAGGAAACATACAAATGCCTTGCCCGTGTTGAAATATGTGAAGGATGTTTAAGGTAAGGTTATATTCTCAGGGGCAAACAAATGAGGAAGAGTCTGAGTAATTGTTGTTTCCACCTATACAAACACCCTTTTGAAAGCCATCCGTGGGCAAGAACAGGACCCAAAAACTATTGTGAAATATTGCAAACATTGTGAGGAATACCAAGTGCAGTATCATATGCGGTTAGTAGATTGCACAGAATATAATGAATGAAATAGTGGACCGATCGGGCGTGGAAGGCCAGGCACGGAGGGAGAGGAGCACTCCATTTCGAAGGAGTTGTTGCAAATGACGGGATTGTTTCTTTATTTTGGTGGTGTCATGGAAAAAAGGTTCGAATCTCCTCTTTCCACTCCTCTTTCCAGCGACAGACCAAAAACACAAAAAACATGGCTTTAAATACAACCCTGAAATACAGTTTTTTGTTGCAAAATAGAACTGTTTACCAAAAATCATACTCACATGAGGGCCACAATCCAACCAGTGTCCACCAACGTATTTTTATTGATTTTGCAGTTTTTGTATTTATCAAAAGTGTTTTTGAATATATATATATATATTGTTGCTCTTTTTTGTTTTGTGGCAAGACAAAAGCACAGGCAATCCGGCGGCAAAATTGACAACACCCCCATAGACATGGCAGAAACCAAAAAATTGAAAATTTGGTTCTGCAGTCCCTTTGGGCAAAAATTGTTGTTCTTTTGTACTTGTCGTCCGCCGTATGTCGGATGATTTTGTGGGTTCGTTTTTGATAAGTGTTTATTAAATATATTATATTTAATATAGTTTGTCATTTTTTATGTTTTGGAGACAGTTGTGTTTTTGGCCTCATGTGGCCCATGTTTGTGTTTTCAAAAAATACCAGTCCGAAAGCTGTGTTTAATTAAACGCGTTTTCCAAAAATACTTCTTCTTTCACCCTCAAACTGCTAACCGGCAGAACCCACCGAACCAACACTTTGACGGCCAGCGAAACGTAGCTAGGGCTACCCCACAACCACAAGAGGTTGGTTGCTCGAAAAGACATGGGTGCCAACTTCCCATCCAACCCGTATCAACGCACATCAAACGTCATTTTTAAAAATGTTGCGTGCATTTTCTCCTTGTTAGAGGGTTTCCACTGTCACGTGTCGTGCTTCATATGCAACCTCACCTGCCACTGGCGGATAAGAGGAGAGCTGGAAGGTGTTTGGCCATTGTCTGCAGCCGAGGTCATGAACACTCGGCTATAGGCACAGTTTGTCAGAGCCAATCCATCAAGGTCTGTCTCACCAATCAGCAGTGGGCTCCGAACCATTTGCTTCTGCCTGCGAAGCTGTAACCTTCTCAGTCTTGGCAAGCACCTGAAGCACAACTTCGTCACCACGACAGGTCGGCATTGCAATGTTGCCATCTAACTTGGAGCACAGTGCCCGCACAGCCGGAATCGTGAGCCGCTGAAGGCAACTTAGAGCGCTGCACGCCCGCCATGAGATGGAAAAACAAACATCACGCAAGGCGTCCAGACGTACAAGTTCGCTTGAGATGGGAACAATATACTACAGTGAAGAGATGAATAGAGCACACAGTCCGCTAGGTTTGATACAACGGCTTCGAACCAATGAAATCGGGACATGGCAGAAGCGGCTTTGGAAAGGCGGCCCTGAGCGTGCGAGCCAGCAAACCCTTTGCATTGAACCCACATCTGATGCCCTCAAACGCATATTCTCTTACACTTTCCAGTGTGGCGCCGCCGCAGAGTGGATTTGGTGGTGGAAGAGCTTGCACCGGGTTGTGGTGGGCGGCCGATTCAAAGACCAAATGTTGTTGACTTGTCGAAAATGCCCTTTGGGGTCATAGAGAGGAGATTAGAAAGTGCAAACACATATTTTCAGGGCACATGGCGTTGAAACATCGCAGTAGATGGTCGGTCTATTTTGTCAACTGAATTCCACATGTACGCTTGGAATAGTAGATGGAGATTGCCTAGGGGTCAAGTCAAATGCTGTCACCGCATGTATTATGTATATATAGACTCAGACAAGTTCCGGTACCCAAAAAACATCGCACCATGTACTTCTTCACTTCTCACTCATCTCATCGTCATCCACTTTGTTCCATTGTGCCAAATGCTCTTGTTTTTTCTTGTCATACATACTCCTATTTTCTTTTCGTGAATGACTGTGCACACATGGACAGGATGTCACGATGGTTTAAGCCGTTTACGCCTTTCGATGGTTCAAGGTTTCGCGTGATTTGGCAGGCAGCATGGTGACGGATGGAGCTCCAGCATATGTATATATAACTTTGGCTAGGCAGTTCGGCCTGGTGCACTTGGCATGCAACCACAGCGAGATGGGGAGTTCAATGTCAAGAGATGAGGGCCGCAAGCGTCACCGGATGTGAACACTGGTTCCATAGATTGGTTTTGGGCCCGTGGAAAGTTGGGAATTCCCACCTCCATTTCACCAGTTGACGTCCAATGGTGAGGTCAACCCGCAGATCTTCAAGTGTTTGCAAAGATACTGTTGGAGGTGGGAAAACACGGGCAAAGACTTGATGCTTTGTACAGGACACGCAGTTGCAAACCTAGTTTTCACGCTGAAGCACACTTGCCAGAAAAGAATGCTGCTTTTGGAGTGTCCAAGAACGATGCTTGGCTAGAATTTGTCAAATTCGCGCTTCGAAATAGCAACATGCCCTTGAACAGTCCAAAAAACAGTTCATGTTTAAGGGATGAATTGGGGTGAAAATGCATACTTTGCCGCAGCAAAACGCAAATTTCAGTGAAACACCTTGTAAATGCGTGTAAATAAGAAGTGCAAGGCGCTTTTTCAGGTCCAATGCTACGAAACGCAGGTTTTAAGGCAGCTTTGAACCTGCCAGTTCAAGATTGACGACATAAAAAATAAACATGCAAAAACGCAGGCTCAGTTGTCAGCCCAGCGGGATGTATATGTTTTGTGATAGATGATGAATAGTTGTTTTAACCTACCATTGGTTAAGGTAAAAATATGTCGTTGGGACGGCAGATTCTATAGTAGTGCCCCCCACTCAAAACGAGGGATCATATCGGAGGCGTTGCCCCAATTGCAGATTACGTCTGCTTGCAGCTTCGAAACATTGAACACCATAGATGCCATAGAGTGTCTGGGTCGTCTATATAATTATGTGTTCAGCGGCAAAGAAAGCAAGTGATGAAAAGAAGAGGATGGGCAAATGACAGGATATGTCACCGTGGTCACCGTCATCATAGTTCTGTTTGTTTCACAACATCCTGCGTCGAAACTGCCAATAATAGAGTGCATGAACGTCACAAAGGGAAAGAGGGGCTTTGATGAAGTCGGCGAATCAGCCTATTCAATCTATCCATCTCCTTAGATCTCCTTCCACACTCTCATTTTCTGCTGTCCCAGCCACACACCAGGAAAGCCAGCACTAGCACTTCACCAGCCTTCAGCTCTAGCACCACCTTAGTGACGCACCGGTGGCTGAGGCGACATGTGCCATAAGAGTTCTGTCGAAACCGCCATGCAATACGCGTCGAATTCCGCCTCGGTGGTTTGAGGAAATTGGAGCATCAACCTGTTGAATCCTGAACATGTATAGGAAGCGAGTACAGGACCGGACAAATAATAGCTATTTTGTTACTACTAGTAAGGCACTTGTTCCTAGTAGCGTGGCACTTGTTCCTAGTAGCTTCTTGTTACTAGTAGTAAGGCACCTGTTACTACTAGCGATGTATAGGAAGCGAGTACAGGACCGGACAAATATGGATATTGGACATGAGGGTGTCTGCTGCGCAGAAAGGATATCTGGCCAAATCCAAGACCGGCCTGGCGGTTCTTGGCAAAGATTTCCACAGGCGAGAGTCGCATGGCGATCCTGCCAAGTTGGCTGGCCAGTTAGACAAACACATTGCCCGCATGTTGGAAAGATCCAAATTTGAATATGTGGTGAGAATCAGTATGTTTCAGTGTCTTTGTCTCAAAATAGAAGCATCCCCTCAAAGCCTCCCTCATCTTGTCCTGGTCCGAAGAAACGACTCAAACGTTTTGGTCCTTGTGTGGGTGGCCTTGGTTGAGGTCTCCAAACACATCAAGTGCAACGAACGACAAGGCCACTGTTTCACCGTCGCTGTGCTCCTCGTTGTGGCATCGACCCCTGCAGTAAGAAGTGCATCGCAAACCTCTTGATGCCCCTTTACCTTACTCATCCAAGGCAAGAAGCCAAGCAATGGGAAAACATGGTAGGTAGCCGCCACTACAACCTCAAACAACTAATAAGCTTTCAGCTTTCTTGAAGTTGTGTTGGGATGATCGTTTTATCGTCACATCTTTCTATCAGTCAAATAGTCAAGTTCTCAAACCAATGATAATATATGGATATATAAATCATCTGTGTCAGTTTGGTGGACGCTTCTGTGGTCCGGCTAGGCATCCCCGCTGCAGCCCTCTCCAAGGCAGTGGCAGAAGATGTACGCACTCGTTGAAAACAAAGACTGATGTCCAGAAGTTCTCGGAAGGCAAAGAAGTTTCCGCTCCTGAACTTGCACAATTCCACAGAAAGGCGCTTCAACATGCTACCAAAGAAAAGGTGGATCTCGTCTACTGAACTGCTGGAATTGGCCAATAACTGTGGGAACCAACAAGGCTCAAGTGCAAAGCAGCACTTACATAAGAAGCCGAGGTGACATTGGTATAGAAATCTCGGTGGTAACAGCAGTGCTGCCTTTATACAGCCAGGTCTGTAAGGCGATGCCAGGTTTGCAGAACAACTTTGCATTGCCAAGTGCTTTTGCAAGAATATGAATCACCAACCAAAGCTGCTCAATCATGACCACCCAAATCCTCCAAGTAGGATGGTGAATGCAAGGTGTTCTCGCTACCACTTGAAAATACCTTCTTGCTAAACCAAGATTGGCTGGTCCACGAAGACTTGCGGGACCACTTTTGTGTTCCGCAGTTGCACTATGAAAAACAACCTTCCGGCTCAATGACTGTTCAGCAAATTCATTCCCATAAATCACCGCTACTGATCAAGGCGAACTGCAAGTCCAAGAACAAGTGGACTTGAAGTGAAGAATCCTTACAATGGAGTATATGATTGTGCAGCGACATTTATTTGGTACTAAACTCTAATACATATCTAATATGTGGGGGCCCTATCTCGTTTAGACTACTTCAGTAGGAGGTCATGTCACAGTGTCTCGTTCAGACTACTTTAGTAGCAAATCACACGGTCTCGTCCAGACTACTTTAGTGTCATCAAGCAAAAGTATCTCGTTTATCTGGGGGCCTATCCCGTTCACAAGTCAAGCGAATACTGATGATAGAGAAGCAAATACAGCATGCCGTAGACTACTTCAGTAAAGCCTAAATAAAAGTGGTTGCTCCTATACAGGGCAAACGACAATGTTGCATAGTGTAGTGCCTAGAGAAAATATCGGAAAGGTCTCGCATTCCCTATCTCCTCCGAACACTTTTACCGACTGAATCCCAAGATCCTGGCATCATGATCGTTGATCACGATCAGCTCGTCACCCGCTTGCAGGAAATCCTGGTCGATCTCGAGATCATGAGATCACTTGGTCAAACAAGGACGTTACTAGTAGCTCCTGGCATAAAGCGACTATATAGCAACAAAGGACATCGCTACTAGGAGCAAGGACGCTACTAGTAGCAAAACCACGTCACTGCCCCAGAATTGAAGCTATCGAAGCTGAACTCAAGATGGGATTCGTTGGTAGCATGACGATTTGTTACTACTAGTAAGGCACCTGTTACTACTAGCGTGGCACTTGTTACTAGTAGCTTCTTGTTACTACTAGTAAGGCACCTGTTACTGGAATGGATTGGTGGGCATCATTTGGATTGCTTCCCTAACGCAATGTGCATTGGAATCGGCATCACCAGTGTCATCGCGATCATCGTCACCACCTCCTTCTTGCAATCGGTGTCTTTTTTCATAGTAAATATGCCTTCTCAAACTAAGGAAGTGTGGGCAGCCGCTACCCACACCAAACCGAAATGCATCCCCTAAACGTTTTCATGGAATTGAGGGGCACCGCAGGCTGGCTACCAGCTTTCAGCTTCAGCATGAACTGCACTAGGCATCTTTTCGTTCTGCGCACCCACCCTTGCGAGACACTGATAGCAAACACCAAGACTCAAGATATCCAGCAGCCGTTGAAAAAGGTAACATCACCCTTTAATATTAATATTGGTCCTAGATGGTCCTAGAATGTCCTAGCTCAGATTCACGTGTCATATGACTGCGCTTACCTGCTTGGATTGCAAGATGACGACCGGCCACAGAGCTTCACATCCGGTTTTTCGCCGTTCGTCAGAGGTCAGCCCTGCCAATAACCTCCCCTATTGATGCATTTGGCCATCCATATCTAGGACCTCTAAGGACTGTCATACAACTGGTGATCCATCGTGGCCGATACAGGGAAGACCAGTGCTGATCATCCAAGCAACTTCCCGATTCTCCATCATCCGTTGGTTCCTCAGACAAATTGGTCATGTTGTTCATTCTAGGCCTACAGAACGAGACCGCGTCACTCTGGCAAGGGCTCGTCATTTGGTGCACCTGTTTCCTAGTAGAACAACAGCACCAGGAAAATGAGACGAGGAATCTAGGCACTGCAGAGACAATCTGATGTGACTTCGGTGCCAAAGAAGCCGCTCCATAGGCACTCCTTCCTTGCATTTTGAACACTGGGAGGGAGGATCAAGTACTCTGCGATTCGGTTGCGCGGCATGTGCAGCCCAGGCAAGCAGCCACTCTTCCGACATTCTTGACAACCACTTGGCTTCATGAAGGCCAATCGACCAGGGGCTGCACTTGAAGTTTGGTATGTCAAAGGAAGGCAAACATAATGCCTCCTTCCGGCTTGGAGTTCCCTTCGTTGCTGCAAAAACGGTTCTCTAATAAGCAGCCTAAAAAGATCTAAAAATCGTGTAGTATCAGGCTAATATCTGTTCAATCTGTTCAGGCATTTTGATCTTCATCCCACTAGAATGCCACAGCGAAGACCCTCTTGCAAAGCATGTGATCGAGACCCACTCTTCGTTCTGATCGTCCGAGTGGCCATTCTGAAGCAGGGCTTTTTTCAAGCAATGCTTCCAGAACACGGCGCGCGCCCTGGGTCCGACAAGCGTTATTTCGGTCTCACCCCAAGGCCCAAATCAGGCTGTCTTTTTTGCATCTTCTCATGATCCCAAGCCATCAGGTCTTTATGGCTTATGTGTTGATCTATCTTTTCCAGGTCGGCAAATCTCGTCTGATTTTGGCTTGGTGTATGGGTAGTTTATGCTAGTTTGGTGAGGCCGAAGGTCCCATCAACAGGGAACAAAAACATGCGCGGAAACGAAGATTGCTGTATGGGTGTGTGGGATGCATGATATTATGCGTGTTAAGCTGTTAAGCCCAACTCTTCGGCGCTGTCATCATGTGCTCACAGGCGGCCTGGAGAGCCAAAGGCTGGTTGTTCCTCTGACGTTCTGACTACAGTCAAGAATAGTTTGCCTGCAACCGCACGTTTGGTGGGACAAGCCAAGAGAAATGTGTTGTTCCCAGAATTCCCTCTTCGTCCAGGACCCTGTCCGCTGCAGTTTGTGTGTTGATTCAAAGCCCAAACTCTAATGCCAAGCATCGAAGCGTTGGTCCCACTTGAAGCCCCAGGGTGTCATCAGGCTTGGCCGCTGAAGTTCCAACGCAACACGGGTGCCTGGTGGGTCCCAACTGGGAAATCCCCGATCCAGAGGTATCTGAGATATCTGTTTGCTTCATGCCTCTCTGCCCACGTTAGTTGCCTTCTTCCCACTCAACAGTCAACGGTCAACAGTGTGGCTGCAAGATTTGGCAACTTCGTGGCATCACAATATGTATTATATATATATATATATGTATATTGGTGTTTGGTTAAACCTCTCAGCTTGTTATGAGAAGAACACCAAATCCCCTTGAAATCATATCTGCAAGTGAAGTGCAAATAACGTAGTTGTTTGCTTGTGTGATCTTGGGAAGAGCAACGTGCAAAAATGTGAAACCTCATCTTTTAAACATTTCCATGACTTTTTTCAAACAAAAGAAATAGGATGAAATAGGTCTGCCAAACAGCTGACGCTGGTTTGATGTGGTTCGTGCAGACATGTGCAGGATTCACGAATGGATTTGTCTTGCTAGAATGCTAGAAATGTCTTTCTTCGAGCATGCCGTGGAAACGCTCAATCTCGCCTTCCCAGTGGAGATGCGGATCAGCCCTGGCACGGCGACATGCTTGAAAACCCTGCAAATGAGCTCCTTCTGCGACGTGCTTGTGGCCTTGAAGCACGTTTTCCACTGACAGAAGTCCTGGGTGTGCTTTGGTTGCCATGTTAGGCATTCATACCATTCTCACAAATGGTTTCAGAGGGATGTTTGCTGTGTTTGACGAAGGACTGCAAGTATCCGAACATTGTCCCCATGACACGCCTGGCAGCCAGGAGGAGTTTCACCACCTCCACGTGGCCGTGGGAAGCAGCTGCCACCAAAGGTGTCGTCATGAACGCCAAGTGAAAGACCAAGTCAACCTTCAGCATCTTCAGCCAATGGATTGACTGAAAGGTTGGGGACTGAAGGTCGAACTGATAAACTGTAGCTGTGACCTTGTTCCTTTGGCTGCTGGAACATACTTGTCTGAAAGTGCATTTGAGAATTCAGATTCCGGAGATCTTGGTCCATCGTCTCCCACGTCGTTGATTCGAGGTTGTTGACTAGCCATGGCCAAGAGCAAAGGTTACGCAGTCATGGAGGTACAGCCATCTGAAGATCACTGACTATGCCTATGCCTTTCAAGCCACCCGGGTCCAATCACAACATGTCACGACATCAAGCAGAACCGGTTCATCCTTTGAAGAAAATCTGCCCTCAATCGAAGCATGCCGAAAATAATCCCAAAATATGGCCCACGTCCAGGCCTGTTGTCGCTTGTCACCATGCCTCTGTGGAATGAATTGATGCTGCTGTTCTGTCTAACCCTCCACAGCCTGATGCCAGCGCCGAAGTTGGGAGATCTGTGACCTAAGTGCCAAAGAGCACCGATGCGACCAATGACCACTCAGAAAATGAAAGTTGTCCCGGCTGTCCCCCTGGACTGGAGAATGGTTTGAACCATTTCCACTTCTTTCTTTTCAGGGAGGGCATCATTAAAAAAAAACACATAACATTGGAAAGGGCGGAATTGAAGGGTTGGCGACATTCAACTTTGCTTTGAAGGCCTTAGCACAAGTCTGGCCACTTCTTTGTTTGCCTTCATGCACTCTTTCAGTGCCCACACCGCACTCGCTTTTCAGATGTGGCTTTCCAAGACTACCCTTCAAGCCACTTGTGTCACAATTGACCTTGGCAAAACAATGTAGCATTGCAATGCTACTGGCGGAGGTGCCCCTGTCTTTTTACACATCCTCTTGTTCAGCTGGTAGTGGCTAGGGGATGAAAACTTAGTTGCACTGTAAACCTGCAGGTTCTTTCATCATGTCCATCGAACATTCTGGACAGTGAAAAAACTCGGCCTCGGAATGCAATCATTCTGAGTCATTCCTTTCAATAGCGCTACTTAGGAAATGTTCAGCATTTCTTCACAGACAATGGGAACGGTTTAGTTTAGTTTGATTGATTTCGTTATATGTTACATAAAATGCCTTTTTCCAACACCCAAAATCTCAGTGCTCAACAGTTGGCCAAGACACCAGCCGCGATGGCCATTGACCTCAACCAGTTCGTCACCTTCGGCAAAGTTCAGCAAAGCGATGGTGTAACAGCTTTGGTTATAAAAAGATTCATTTACTCAATCCCTAAACCTGCGTGTACCGCAACATGATAGTACAAAATGGCTATTTCATGTTATTTCTAACTTGAGTCGTGCCCGTATTGAACACAAAAGAATGCTAGTGAATGCTCATCATACCTGGCCCAGTAAGTAGGCTTTGGCCCACCCCAAAATCCCCTTAACAAACCCAAAGCTCTCAGTTGAAAACACTGAGCTTCATGGAGAAGTAAACACTCAGGAAATGGATCAGCATAGGAAGCTTACATAGCTGGTTGACAATGGAAGCGTACACTGAGTACACTTGTTCAACCTGACCGGGAGGTGCACAGGGTATCTGACATTCCCCTCTCCACTTCACCTGTTGAGCTTGGAATTCTGGAAGGCTCCACATCTTTCCCTCGCCTCGTCGAAGGGTTTCACCTCCCCAGGAGGCTTGCCTTGGTCTGTGGCCAACCGGACACGCCCAACAACCCAAGGACATCTACCCGACCGTGACAGTCGCAGGAATATTTTGTGATGCTGGATGTGCGTGTCAAAGACCCTCCTGTACCTAGATAAATGTTCCTTCTGTTCATCGAATCCGCTGGCCCCTTTAGATTCCACCAAGTCCGGATTCAAGCAGGAGATCGGGCTCCGTCGTGCTGAGGAACTGCCGGTTCCATGAAGCTGCAGGGCTATCTTCTGGGTTGATCTCTTCCAGGATGCGACGCCTCAAATTCTGAAGGGTTGCAGCTTTTTTGCGGTATTTTTGGTTTTTTTTGGTGGTATATATTTGTTAAGGCTTCAGTCTTCTGTAGTTCTAAAGAGTTTCTAACTAATTCTAATTGATGTCCAATGCGTATTTAGTTATGTAGTGGTTTTAGTGGAATATTTTGGGCGGGCTTTAGTCTTTTGTATGTTTCATGTGCTTTTAGTTAATTCTAATTGATGTTCAACTAGTTTTGACTAACTGTGTTAGTGGGACAAAATTTGGCTTTAGTCTTCTGTACTTTCAATGTAGTTGTTTTTTATTCTTCAATTTGGTTTAGTTAATTGTTAGTTTAACATGTCCTTTTACATGTCCTTGTATTTTTTTGCTAACTGTCAACGGACATGTCCTTTGATTTCCTTTGAAATGTCCTTGTCAATGTCCTTTTAGGAGTCCTTTAGATGTGTCTTTTGAAATATCCTGTTCATGTCCCTTCTACATTTCTTGCTGATTCAGTCTAACGTATTTTGTGCAATCTCCATACAATATTATTTTCCTTTGATGTTTTAAACTTCCATTGAATTTGTCTTAAAATGTCCCTTCAAATGTCCTTTCAATGTCCTTTCGCATGTCCCTTCCGAATGTCATGCATATTTCCTCTAACTTTTATTGTCCTTCAATATGTCCTTTTAGCATGTTGTTGTAATGTTCCTTCTCATGGTTCTTCTAAATGTCATGTTTAGCTTAAATTGTCCTTATAAATATCCTATTACATTTGCTTTTGAATTCCCTTTAAGCCTTTTACATTTCCTTTAAAAAATCCTTTGCAATCTCCTTTCAAATGTCCTTGTAATTGTTCTTTTAAATGTCTTTTT